CCATAAAAACTAGCAGCCATGTCCAACTTCTTAGATTACCTAGCCCGAAACGTCAGTTGTATTTGGAACTTGCACCGCTTGCTCAATACTCAGTGAAAGCCAATTGTTGCCTACTAGAGTTCGAATTCGTGCCATAATTATTGGCCTTGAATGTCGCATGACATATGGGGTGGCAGGGTTTGAATGGCGTTACTATCGCATCGTGCATGCCTGAATAGCCTTGAAATGGTCTGCACGGACGAGTCTGCACACCTTCGCGAGGCCTGTAGCTAAAAACCTAGCGGGTATTAGGTCTTCCAGAGAGTGTTCCACATTGGCTTGGGGCCTTGAACTTGAATAACCACATAAAGACCATTGGTTGCAGCGCACAGTCCAGCCCTTCTCAAGACACGCGTCCCTAGTTTTTGTGCTGCATACCCACAAAGATTGCGGATTATTTCAGAGACATTATTTCAAGGTCGACTAGGCATGGAGGGCGCTATAACAACAGTCAAATCTTGCCACTGTCCTGTCAATCAAATTCAGCCATTCCATTAGCTAAGTTGCAACCAAGCTTAATACAAATGTAAATGTCGAGTCGTTCATATCTGGCGTTCGTGAGCACAATTTCCGGATACAACGGCCGCGAATTCGCTCTCAATGAACGTTTTGCAAGGTACAATGACGTAATAAAACAATGACGTATTGAGAAGCATATTCACAAAACAAAGAAATTGTGTTGTCTTCATCAACTTTTCCTCTCGCAGGGATACAGATAGTTATAAGTGAGCTTATTTCATCATATCTGACACTTACTCCAATATCTTCAAATGTGGAACATTCCTTTTAGGAAGGGTGGGACTGTGAACTATACCGAAAGATCTTCGAAATGGCTATTTTAGCTCAAAACCCATACAAATATGGAAAACCCCCTTCAAGCCCCTTCCATGTGCTTCCTTCATAAACTCCCACCCCCAATGCACATGAGCGAGAAAGGATACACTGGGCCAATAAATTGTAGCTAGTCTTTGGACTCCTGGTACAGGGGGTTCTAAACGCAAATGAATATATACCATCATTTTGACATATCATCACCAACGTCAAATCGGTTTCAAAAGGGAAGTCATTCCTCAACATCAAAACAATTTCGGAACCAACCAAATATTTATTCTGAGTTCAATTTTAACATCATGGACGCAGATCAAACTTGGCGAAATCCAAGGAGAAATCAGGATTTTGAGCGTAAGTTAGGCCAGCTTCATTGGTTCAGCTCCCTCCCCGATCCCGTGTTGGAAAGTGACGCCCCTGCGTCCATCATTGATCCGGAGTAGCATTTGAAACAAATTGCATGAAAAAACTTTTAGCCCGTGTACTCGCAGTCTTAGAAGCAAGATCACTGATGGCCGTGGTTGCAGTTTCCACCAACCGAACGGCGTCAGCGGGCCAACACCGGGCTGCGGCCGTCCAACGCGCGAGAACAAACGTCGTGGAATCATGCCCCCGAAAGTCTTTCAAAATGAATTCGCATCGTTCAAAAGTTATACTGGCGAGTAGATTTCACAATTAAATGTTGAGGATGTCCTCTGAACAGACAAAAAGCGTCAGCAACAAACAGTAAAAGAGGGATTCTATGTTTACTTGTCTAGTTCCACCACACAAAATTTCGTCACCGGTTGGTAATGCTTTAGTGCTAATCCGTCCCTAGTACAAACATATAAATTACACAGGTGAAGCATGCTCCCGGTCTACCTTCTGAATGCAATAATTGATATTCTAAGGCGTTCAAAGGCGCCTGTTTCAGAAGCGGTACTGTCTTCGTCCGTTCACCGGCCACCGCCTAATTAATACATGCAAGGCGGCCGATGCCGCGTGGCCTACGGAGGCTGCAACGGCACGGGGTTTTGTTCCAAGGTTGGAGAGCTCGCGTGGTCGAAGCTTTGTTATATGATTGTTCCAGTCATCGGTTCGGAACCAATTTTCAACCTCCCAGATGGACATGGTCACTGGAGAGCCGGCTTAACTAGCAATACTTTCACAATCAACCTCGCTTGCGCGTGACATTGGCATTATGGTCGTTTCACTTACCATACATCCGAACTGAAGCGGGTTGGAGATGCTTTCCTCTCACTGGCACAACAGCCTCAAACAGTGTATACCTGAACTACAGCTGGCTAGCCGTGCGTGTTTGATGAAGTGAACGGGGAAAGACATTATGGAAAGGAGGGCATGTGCCTGATCGTTTTGGGGAAAGGTTGAAAAGTATTTTCTGAAATGATGCATGGAGGAGTGGTTATGGTTTGTTTTATATGAACTGAAGAGTATATGGCTTATCGATGATTTTTTGGAATATCGAGAAGCTTCATGCAAACAAGATGCAATGCCAGATATATTACTGACACTATTCTTGTCAATACATATATATTATACACCAAAAGATTACATACGCGCAGGATGGTAAATTATACGCATATTTGCTTTTCAGTTCGCAAGAGAGAGATGCAACTGCACCCTATCAACTTCACAAAACCACTGTGTTTATACGAAACTGATTCAAACTGCCAGGCTTCAATATGCGATTGCTGTGATACGTACGTGAGCTAAAAAAGTGTGGTAAGCGTACTTCACATACACACACACACACACACACACACACACACACACACACACACACACACACACACACACACACACACACACACACACACACACACACACACACACACACACACACACACACACACACACACACACACACCACACACACACACACACACACACACACACACACACACACACACACACACACACACACACACACACACACACACACACACACACACGCACACACGCACATACACACGCGCATATACACGCAGACGCATACGTCCTTCCCACACCCACATTATATATATATATATATATATATATATATATATATGTATATACAGAAGTGAACTATATCCGATAAATTTACTGTATCTGTCTCCCTATGGCGGACTCCAAGACTCTGGCCCCCCCATCATTTTGAGAAATCGACACCCATGTCTGAAATGCTCCACCGAGCAAACATTCTTCTCGGTTGTCGGCAGGCAAACGAAAGGACCGAAAAAATAAAATCCAGCCAAAACCAAAAAAGCCGCAGTCCAAAGGCGCTGGCAGAGAGCACGGGGATAAGCACTGCCTCCCCTTAGGTCCCTTCGGACCAGTAGCGGCGTACATTGGGGGGGGGGAGTCGGGGGCAAAATACCGCCTCATCTTTTGTGGCGGGAGCAAAGCCTTCCTTTTGCTCACCCCCTAATTTCAGGTGGTCTGAAGTACTTATTCATCGCGTTACCCATAGTGAGCGGCGAAAGCCCACATCCGGTTGGAAAGGACTTATTTCAAGACAGAAAATCGCTTTTGTTAGTTTCAGGCACGGAAAGGGCTCATTTCTTCTCCGGAAAGGGACTGTCACAGACTCGAAGAAGCCCACCTGTGTGATCAAGAAAGGGCCGTCGTCAACTCAGCAAGGCGCTTGTCGGTCTGGATAGCGTCGATTTTAAGCAAGGAGGAGGCTTATAATAGGTAAGGCCTCTTAGGTTTGGAAAGTATCCATCATAAGCCCAGAAATAGCTCGGCTCAAGTTGGGTGGGGACAATCTTCGACCGTTAAGATGAATATTTCAGGTTCCGAATAGGCCCATATCACCGCACACAACATTGCAGACAGGGATGCAGTTTCCTATTCAGTTGTGTCTTCAGCTTGGGCTTGGCTCAGCCCCCCCCCCCCCCCCTCCCCCAACCTCGGGAAGAAAGTTTGTCAAATCTGGGGAGAAACCGGTTTGTTGGCATATTTCGAGGCTAGGTTAGGCCATATTTCACTGTTCAGCCCCCCCCCCCCCCCCTAATACGGCCCTGGTTGCATACACGGCTGCATGAAGCCTGAGGGACAGTGTTATGCATTGCGTGCTGAAAATACGAATGATGCGTACCCGCGATGACTAACTGCATTGAATGCGCATTTGACTGTGCGTGGAAGATCGGGAGCAGTGCCTCAGCCGCATTCTCCTACATGGTCCGAGTCTTACCAACCACCTGACAGTCGTGCATATGCGTCTCAGCACGGCACAGCAGCGTTCATGACAGGCATAACAACAAAACATGTTCTACCGTATCAATGGTTCTCGGTACTATCGGGATCGCCTTCGGGCCTCCCTGGTGGGAAGGTGGGAGCATACTGCTCTCCCGCAGCGCGTGCAGCATGGCGGTGCATTCTTCGAAACGTTATCTTTCCCAAGCTGACCAGCTAGTTCTCAGAAGGGCAGTGAATGGAGCACGCAGACGAGTCCTGCGCTGTGGCTGTAGTGGCGATGGCCGAAAACATCCACAACACAACAAACAACAACAATACTCCAAAATGCATTTTGAAGGCAGTCGAAACGACAGACGCAGCGGTGGAACTGGTGCTCAACCTCAAGCCTCAGTCGTATTTGACGTCAGCTGACACTCCTCATAATAACATGACTAATGCGTGTCATTGGTCTCGAAGACATAAAAATATGTCGAAAACAATGGGAACTGGAATTAGATAAAAACATGCATGCAAACAAAAACATGCTTCATAAAAGCGCATGCATACAAAAACAATGTTATACAATAATATCGTACAAAAATGGCTGGGCAGGGCGCTTGCAATTTGTCGAAGCCACTTGTCTTATATCTTCCCGCGGCTGGTTAATGAGACAGGCCGCTCGGTACGCTAAGGACCGCTGTCCTGCCGCCTCACGCACCGCCGGGAGGCGCAGGTTTTGGTCCATGCGGGTGGATCGGTCACTAACCTGCGCGTCGGCGAAGCAGCAAACAGGCAATAATCTGCAAGAATCTGCAATTGAAACAAGCAGGCAAGATCTGCAGGCGCACCTCGCTTACGGGCTCTGTGCCCAGCAAAAGCAGTTTGCATTCCACACATTTGGTGAGGCGTAACAAAGTGCAAGTCATTCCGCGCGCGAGACACGTAGTCATGCTTCCGGAGGCCAGTAACTACTCTGGTGACGAAGTTTATTACTTTCAGTAGTCTGGTTTCGTTAACAGCTGATCCCTGGCCATAATGCTGAAATGCGATATATCACGCACGAGATGACTAGACCTTACACGACGGTCAGCAGCACTCGCTGTTGAAGGAAATGCGGGAATGCAAACAAATGCTTACTGGTACCGCACAGAGCCTAATGCAGCGATGGCTGCTGACAGCGAGCCATATTCGAGAACGACAGCGAGCCGTATTCGAGCGAGCCATATTCGAGACATATTCGTGAACGAGCTGGCTCACACACATGTTGACAACCGAAGGCACGTGAAGAAGATCAGGAGGAAGCCCGTCAGTCCTGGCTTTGCTGCAAGTCAACTTCCAAGCTGTTCGCTACGAGGAGGTGATCCACTTGGCGCGAGAAGAGATCGCGGAGGTGCTGCTGAACAGGAGCGTGTCGAAGGGGGCTATCAGGCGCATAGCCCACCAGCCGCTGAGATGAGACCGCATCCCGTTCTCACACAAGCTGGAGACAGCTCGGTGAGGGTGGTGACGGAGGCCTCTGCTTCCGTAAACAGGGAGGAGAACTGGTACGGCTTCATTTGCGCTCGATTGAAGCACCGTGAAATTCATGCGATTGATGGTGGCAGAGCATGATGTTCGGCTGTCATTCTGATGACGTCTAACTGTGGCATGTGCACACTGTGCGTCAGTTTAATCTCATTTCCTGTTGGTCTTTGGATGCTATGTTGAATCAACCTCACAAAACCGCTTCCATGGTATTAAATGCATTACATTCCAAAATCTAAGTTCATCCAAAATGTTTGTTTATAGTCAAATAATAACACCGTATGTTGTCAGAGTGCCAGTTCTACGTAACTGAATAATCAGAATATATTGAGATGCACTAGTTTCATTTCACGCATTATCTCCCCAACATGACAACGAATGTGCGATAACGATCACAAGCGTCACCTAAGCGTCTTTTGCCGAACACAAGGCTTAACTTGACCGCTGCGGATCGTTAACATGGGCAGCAATGCAGCTTCGATCACTGCGGGTTGACTCCAGCTCGCTACAAAGGGGGAATGTGCGGCATTTTATTTGTTCTCATAAGTGAGAACAAATAAAATCGGCGGCGGCGGCGGCGGCGGCGGCGGCGGCGGCGTGCCTCAGAACACGACCCCCGGATGGCCGAACGCGTCGAGCAGCATCTTCTTGTAGAGCTCGAGGTCGAGAGCCTCGATTACAGTGACGTTCCTGCCAAGAGCTGTGGGCTCGCTCCAGCTGCGCCTGTCCACCACCATCTGGCCGCGAGTGAACTTCCCATGCAGCTCCACCGTGGCCTGCGGCGCAGATGTAAGCAGTTCACCTGCGACCTGAGGTCACTGAAGCGGTGGTCGCGGCAATGCAGTCTACAATCACAGCAACACCTCCAGCGTCCCCCTACCAGACGGCAACGCACTTTTTCTCCCTCAACGGTGCAGCTGCCGTGACCTGCTCGACGGCCGTGCGTAAAGAGCAATACATTCACAGCAGCCCAGCCGCCTGCTGTTTGCATAAATGTGTACACAATGTCACCCACGTAGATGACTGCTCGACCCTCGCACACAGCCTAGAAGACCAGGTACGCAACCAAAACCTTAAAAGTGGTGTACCAGACGACAAAGACTACATGCACTCGTACTCAACTGGACTCCAAAAGGTAACCCGTCGGGGGAAAGCGCATGGCTCACATGACTCGCACTGCTTCTCACAAACTGACGTAGTAAACTGGATACGGGAGTACATGACTCACACTCACCGGGCCACATCTGAAACAGTCTGCCGTTCGGCATGACAAAACCTTGCCTGCCACCTGTTATCTGCCAATGTTCTGCTACGCGTCATTGACCCGCTCGTGTTCTCCCATGTGCGTTACCGCGCTCAAGTTCATGGGGGCGGGAACTGCACAGCTGTTGTGAAATTGCAGAAAGTCTTTAACTTCGCAGCCAGGGTGTCCCCGGACGACACAGATTTGACCGTGTGTCGGATGTTCCACGATGGTTTGACTGGCTTAGTGGCCAAACGTTTATCGACTTCTTCGATATATGCCTCGTACACAAAGTATTGACAAACGGGGAGCCATAGATTTTACGTTCTCAGCTATCCTACAACCAAGAAAAGACCGAACGCAGTACGCGCCAATCTAGTCATGTATCTCTTTCTCGCCCCAAAGAACAAACTTGGAAAGCGAGCAAATGCCTACCAAGCTGCGCCTATCTACAACTAGCGTGTCATCACCAATGACATCGCGGGCTTATCTTCTTCTTTTAAGTCCTGTTTCCATGACACTATTCAAAGCAACTGCCATTTTTAACCTCGTGTATGTCTCCTCGTGTCGTGTTACGCTTGTCGCCCTGTGACTGTCGATGTACCTGTTAACGAAGGTCTAAGAAAGGCCTAATAATGCGGAACGACTTGATAAAGTGCAATACAATACATTACGATGGCGGCATGCCACGCAATGATGACTCAAAGTAAGCCTGGAGACGTAGCAACCCGTCTAAATCTGTCCAGAAACTCACATGTCATTGTGCCCGGCACCGTGGCAGTTTAGAGAAGTAGACGAGTCCAGGTATCAGTATTAGGAATGGAATCATCTGCCTGACTATCGTATGCTCGTCCGGCTTAAACGAGGTCAATAGCGCGGAAAACTACTCCATCAAGCGGAGTAGTTGTCCGCGCTACGTACGGACAACTACTCCGCTTGCCACCGTGCTACGACGGACAAGCCTTCCGTGACCGCCGTAGCACAGTGACAAACGACGGACAAGCCTTCCGTGACCGCCGTAGCACAGTGACAAACGACGGACAAGCCTTCCGTGACCGCCTTCCGTTCCTTCCGTGAAGCACAGTGACAAACGACGGACACACAAGCCCTTCATAGTCGATCAACGACTTCGAATAATGTGCAGACACTTTGCCTGGTCTACGCTGAGCTCACAAACTCGGTTTTCATACCGTGACATTAGCCCGATGCGAACCAGTGTGGACACGCTTATAAAAGTTTCTAAAGGTCTCGTGATATTGTTAGAAACCACAAAACATGCCACGCGATACACCTTCACAGATGCATCGGCCTCACTGGATGTGATATAACAGGCAATACGATTTTCGGCGCTACAGGATAATGCATGAGTCACGTCAAAGGTCTTTATTTCTGCACGTTAGCGGCGTAGTGACAAAAGGGCAAGAGGCCATACCGTTACAAATGTCACATGCTGTCACCTCTGCTGCCATGAGGTGACAGTTCGACGAGCGCAAAGTGCGATGGCGTTGGCCCCCGTCCCGTGATCATTCCTGACAGTATGTTTATTACCGCTAGTTCAACGACATTTCCCCCCCCCCCCCCCCCTTCAAACGGCAAAGTTCTCCTGCTCCGCGAGAGGAACGCTCTGTGTTTGGTAGCTCATCAGTGGCTCCTGGAACGGTTTCGGGCTCTGGGACGTCTTGCCTGCTCGATGCTGTACTACAAGTGTGATGATTACACGGCATGTGATGTAACGGAGCATAAAGCTATAATGTGTGGTACGCCGCAGCAGGCGCGCAACCAGAGCTTTGGCAAAGAAGGGTGAAGGGGACAGGGTTGAAAAGGCCCCTGCTAGTGAAAATCCCCCCTAAAAAAACGTGAGACGTAGCCCACTGTTCAAATGCGAGCCTGCATTTCTTTTATAAACATATTTTTTAAACTTGTTCCCTCTGTAATTGGAATGGAAGCCTAAAGCTACCGCGAAAAAAAACTCTGCCCGAATTTTGTAGTTATTAAACCGAAGGAATCGCTCGTTAAACGACTGAATGGAGGAAATCGCCGGAGCTCTCCTTTTTTCAAATGGTCCAGTGGACTCTCTCCAAGCCGACAGAGCTCACAAGCTTCGTCAAAATTCGTACCCGTGTTCTTCAGATATATTAGAGAGCCCGCCATTATTGATTGTAGGTAGATCAAAATGAGTGAGCCATTTGTATTAACATGTCCAGCCCATGTTTTTTTTTTTAAAAAAGATCAGCATTCAGTCAGACTTGATTATTGACGCAAATTATGTTACGTAGTTTCAAACATGCGCGCTCGCATGCGCGCTGCCACTCCTCTCCGCAGCGTGATTGCCGTCATGTGATGTCATCCCTGATGCGTGGCTGCGGCACAATCATTTAAATGCGGGATAATGCTAAAAAATATATCCGCTGGAATGCGTTGCTGGTGATGTGCGGTGTATTCCAGAATATAGATGGGAACAACGCGACATGAACTCCGCCGATTCTTTCGATTAGGTATATCTGAAGCGTTTCCTTCACCCTATCACCCACCGCGTTCGAAGGTGTCTGATTCCGTGGCGTTCCTTTGCGCACGCCGTTGCGGTGCGTAGATCTGGGCTTCCCTTCCGACAACGCATTAACTGCGACACGAGTCTACAAAAACGTCTGCCTTGTCCCCAGCCTCTCTCTCCGTAGAGTCCCTGTCTGGGCTGCTGCCAACTCACGTGGTGCGTCGACTGTTTGAGCACGATCTCGGGCCGGATTAGCATGGCGGCGGCTGCTTGGTCGCACGTGATCCAGTCGCCGAAGGTGCAGTCCTCAAGCACGGCGCGCTCAGCGGCTCCGAAGAAGCGGGCCGCGGGTGAGTCCACGGCGCCCAGCACCGTTTTCCTCCACGCCTGCCGGTCACGGGTGGTCAGGCCTTCCTCCAGCTCTGCCGGTGACGGTGCAGAGCGTACATGGGGTCGACTGCCAGGCTAGAGGAACGATAGACAGAGCTTGAACGTCGAAAGACACCATATGACCTCGCCGGCATCGCTCTTTGGAAGCACCAGAAGCTGCACGCAGATTTCGGGCTAGCGACTTGCATTGGTTCAACTGACCTGAAATGTTGACCAGAAGAGATTATGTGAAAAGGCTCGAGCATAACATGAGAAGTCTTACAGGCGACACCACTTGGTAGTGAAATATTTTCTCAAACATATGAGCTGGAGAGCACACAGGAGCTAGTGTTCAATTCCACCTTGTTCTCGTGGAGCCTTGAAGGTTGCGATCAGGATGACAAGGCCCTTGTGAGCCTATAAAAATTATCCACTTATCCCTACCGAGAAGGCGTATGTTCACATGCATAATGCTATCTAAAACTCTTATGTTAATGACACCCTACCCTTCCCCACATTGAAGGCTGATAGCTTGAAAGCATAACGCATAATCAGCATTTCTGGTCAATTTTTACTCTGCCCCGTATTGTGTATCGATGTATTGGTTAACTTTAGGCTTTACACTATAGTGGTGAAGTCATGGCCAGCCAAGCCCAGAGAACCACATATCTTACATGCGGAGCACCTCCAATACCCCCCCCCCCCAAAAAAAAAATATATATATATATAAGAGATCGTGACTTTCTGGATCCGAGGGCCCATACGACTTTCCGTTTTATGCTAATCCCTTCGGGAAATACGGGACTAGATAAAAAACTATTGTTATACATACGGGTGGAAAGTTCATGTCCGATTTTATATGCACATGATGGAAACTAAAACCGCATACGCACGTGCATTTTCATTTTGTTGGATAGCACCAAGGCCCTAGATAGCACGTGCCCTGGAGCTTTTTTACGTGGCCCAGACCCGCTTAGCATCATGCGTTGCTCAGCGCGGGGCAAAAAGCAAAAGATGCCGAGTTACATTAGTCAACAAGATCCAAGATCGCAAAAGCACCACCTGCACAAAACTACGTCTGCGCCTGCAAGAAAAATTCTGAAAGACAGGTCTGTACTGGAGTAGAAATGCAATGAAGGTACCTTGGGAAGGTGCCCCTAAAATTATTTAGGAACCTAACGCAAAAAAAAACGGGAGATAGGGTTAAACAAGTCAAGTCAGGAATGACCAACCCATCAAAAGTCATCTTGAAGATCGCTCAGGAAGTTGACACCAGTCACACAACCAAAAACGAGCATTTTCCTTCAAGGCGACTACCCAGTAAAAGCTGACAGAAGCCACTAATGAACAGTGGATGACATTTGGCAGCTGACTGAAGACCGAGGAAGAAGCTAATCCTTTTGTAACCACATCCAGTTCAGCGACGATACCACCTTCACCTGAAGGAGACAGTTAATACACAATACTGCCGGCTTTGGGCCTCGGAGCTGGCAGACAGAGCTGCTGGAGAGCCCGCTGCACAGCCCGAAGGTAACAGCGTGATGCTCCATGAGTTCGAGCGGCCCCATTGCGCTCCTCTCTTCCAGTGTCCAGACGGCCACACGGCCTGATGCTCCATGAGTTCGAGCGGCCCCATTGCGCTTCTCTCCTCCAGTGTCCAGACGGCCACACAGCCTGATGCTCCATGAGTTCGAGCGGCCCCATTGCGCTCCTCTCCTCCAGTGTCCAGACGGCCACACGGCCTGATGCTCCATGAGTTCGAGCGGCCCCATTGCGCTCCTCTCTTCCAGTGTCGAGACGGCCACACGGCCTGATGCTCCATGAGTTCGAGCGGCCCCATTGCGCTCCTCTCTTCCAGTGTCCAGACGGCCACACGGCCTGATGCTCCATGAGTTCGAGCGGCCCCATTGCGCTCCTCTCTTCCAGTGTCGAGACGGCCACACGGCCACGGCCAATCGACATGCTGGAGCGCTTCTGGAGACAGCTGGAGATCCGGGTAAAGTGGAGAACATGAGGTGCCAGCATGATAGGGTGAATCCTCACAGGCCGAAGGCAGGCTTGACATTGCTGGAGGACTTTTTTTGCAGCTCGCACCATCAGCTGCAGGACTGGCAAACCATAGTCGGCTCACCCTCTGGGTCTGATCCCTCCATATTATATATTATATGGTGGTTATGTGGTGGTTACCTCCATATTATATGGTGGTTACCGAAATGCCGGGTCCACAGGAAGAGCCCTCAGAGCCACGGTGATCTAAAAAGGGTACCAGCCAGCAGGCAGGCACAGTCACAGCTAACAAGAGCGCAAAGGCTGTCCGTGAGCGGGCAAGGCGCACAGACCTCTGCCTCCTACGAAAGGGGAGGGGGGGGGGGGGCTCACCTGGAATTCCTGCTCTAAAGAGTTCCCTAAGTGGTGACGAAGTGTTTAAGATACATGATACAAATATCCATGGTTCGGTGAATTTCTGCGTGAATATATTTGTTATCGTGACTTGCCACTTTTATGTTATGAGCGGATGAAATCAGGACACACTTGTCTTTACATTATGTATGTATAAATACCAGGTGAACAACAGGTCGTACATAAGGATACCACTGCATATGGGGCACTGCTGTCATTTTCGGTTGGCATACAGATCGTTATCAACGTGGCCTGTGCATGACATTCCTGACATCAACTGTAGCCTGGCTGGGTTGCGCGTCATTTGAGGTTTTGACACCTTGTTGGAATCGATACATAAAATGGGGTTTCTTCATCATATTATAGGGCACTGAAGTGTGACAACGTGTCGCAAGATCTGGGAGCAGTTGTGTCCGTGGTCTATTCGTCCCGATGCGGCCCGTCGCGAGGATACGAGTGCCAGGCCTGGGGGCAGTTGTGTCCGTGGTCTATTCGTCCCGATGCGGCCCGTCGAGGGTGACACAAGTGCCAGGCCTGGGGGCAGTTGTGTCTTCGCCGCCATGGTTGTGCCGCGCGCAGTCTGTTTTGTATCGTGCCAGTGCGCGCCGTCGTGTGCCAAGACAGATATATCTCCTGCATCGTAATACGACTGACAGTCGTTCAAACGTTACAATATTTATCATTGCTAGACATACTGCAAGGCCTCTTCAATGCTGGGGTGTCTCGAAGTAACTGTCGATAAGACACGAGCCATGCGTTGCGCGCGGTCAAAGGAGCTTTACTTTAACATAATGAAAGTTTATGCAATAGAACATACCACAGTGCGATGACGTGAATGCTTTGAATCAAACACTTGATGGTATCCAGACACTGACGTCTAAATCGATGGCGGAATTTGTCTGCCCCGATAGCTAAGTTGGCGCCTGCGTTGTCACTCCGTCACTCGTGGCAATGTGGGTTCAAGTCGGGATTGTTGCTAATGTAAAGCCAATAGAAAATATACAAGTTTGAACAAGTCCAAACACAGCCACCAGCTCTTGACCAAACTTTCACCGGGTATAGAACTACACTATTGTCATCAAATAGATTTAATTCAATTTTCTGTTGCATATCACCAACATTCTAACTTAGTGTGGGCGGTTGAACAATTTTGTTGACTCCTTACCTCGTTACGGCCTCTGTACTTGTTGTTCAATGGCAATGCTACGAACTGCAACAATGTTATTCCTTATCATAAAATACGTTGCTGAACATCAAATTTGAAAAGGTAGCCATCATACACATTCAAAAACCCATTCTTCATGCCATGTCTGCCAAGCAGCAACTACAATCACACTGAATTGGGTGGTTGTTAGCTAAATCTTTTTCAATTCATTTTTGTACTTCACGAAACATCCAAGAGATTTCAGCAGCATCCCCACTTACGCCAAGAACTCCTCAGAAATATGACGCCGGGTGCGGCCGGGAAGGGTGAGTCCACGCACCCCTAAAAGGAGCGTCCCACATTTACATGGGGTTTTGAACTAAAATACCCATTTTGAAGAACTTGCGGTGCTGTCCACAATTCTGCCCTTCTTAAGACCTAAGCCCCTCTAGTTTCTGTGCTATACGCCGCGTAGATGGTGAAAGGCATATCGGGGAACGTATTCCAAAGTCACCTTGGCATTCATGACGCCATACTAACTTTATTCAAATTCTGCCAACCCATAAGCCATGCTATAATCAAGGCCAAGAAGAATGCAACTATGAAGGCGTTCGTATCTGGCGTTCGTGAGCGCACTTTCCAGATATGACAGCCGTCAATTGGCTCTCAATTGATGTTATGTAAGGTACGATGACGTCATTAAACCACGCCACATTGAGGAGCATACTTGCTAAACAGGGAATTGTGTGGTCTGGGGCACTCTTTTCCACTTAACAAGCATATCAATATTTCAATGTGAGCTTGTTTCATCATATCTGGTGTTCGTTTCAATAGCCTTTAATGTGAAACATTCCCTTTAACAGGGAATTAGGTGTACGCCCTAGGTCGACCGGGCGGGTAGGTGAATGCCTTTTCAGAGGGTGGCTGAGTGATCACTGATGTGGGCAAGCTCCTCTACAAAAGTGACATCTGCTGGCTGAGAAACAGGCGGTTTATTCAATGGGAGAAACTAGGGACTAACAAACGCACCTGGAAATGTTCCACATTTAGAGATATTAAAACAGTCACCAGGGGTGATGAAGTAAACTCATTTGGAACCAATGGTATACTTTTAAGTGGAAAAGACTGCTCTATACAACACAATTTCTCTGTTACATAAACATGCTCCTCAATGCGTCATTGTTTGATTTCGTCAGCGCATCTTACATATTATTGATTGAGAGCCAATTGGCGGCGTCGTATAGAAAAATCACGCTCACGAACGCCACATATGAACGACTCAAGAATCATATTTTTCTTGGCTTGATCGCCAAACGGCCAATGCAATAGCAGAATTTTAATGGCGTTATTATGGCGTCACGGCCATCTGAGTAACCTTAAAATAGCCTGCACGAGACAGTCTGCCCACCTTCGCGGATGTATAGCTCAGAAACTAAAGGGTTTTAGGTCTTGGTTTTAGGTCTAGGAAGGGCAGAGCTTTGAATTGCACCGAATGATCTTCAGTATGTCTATTTCAGTTGAAAACCCTATGCAAATGTGAAGCACAGTCTAGGCGCTCTCTTTTGGACTGGGATGGACATCGGACCCCCTTATTCGATTTTCGCTTCATCCTTCTTCCTAGCGACGCCCTGCATGTTCGGGCAGGCTGCATGCGTCAGCCATGAGCGAGCCGAGAGGCCCCGGGAGGGAGACCGCAATCGGGCGCCGAGCGCACCCCCGCAGACGGGTCCCTGCGAGCGCCACGGCTAAGCGATTTTACCCCCCCCCCCCCCTCCCCCCCCCAGGCGCATGCAGTCCTGCCCCACCGTTATCCATCCTCCTTTATCTCATAGCCCTGAATGATCATTTCTGGTCAAAAGGACTGTAGCTCAAATAGCCAACTGGGATGGCCTCCGGTCGGTGTCCGCGGTTGTGTTAAAGGTCAGGTGACGTGAGAGGGCAGCACGGACCGCGCTGGGCATTGGAGTGCTGAGCATTGCAACAGTTGGCCCGATATTTTGCGATCGGGTGGTGGAGCTGGGGCTCATACAACAAACACTGTTTAGCGCAGACACTGGTTAGATCCATCTAATGACAAGATTTGGACGAGATCCTTTTTTAAGCATGTACATATCGGCATCACGCCAGAAAAGGTATCTTCATTATAGCTCATGTTGAAGGAAGTGTTTCACATTTGCATTTCATATTTGCATGGGGTTTAGAACAGAAAGAGCCATCTTGAAGATTATTCGGTGCATGTCCTGCCCTTCTTGAGACCCAAACCCCTCTAGTTTCTGAGCTACGTGTCCGCGAAAATGTGCAAATTTTTTCGGGGAGACTATTTCAAGGTCACCCAGACACCCATGATGCCATAATAATGTCATTAAAATTCTGTTATTCCACTGGCCATGCAACGATCGAGGCCGATAAAATATGATTGCTGAGTCGTGTCTGGCGTTCGTGAACACAATTTTCAAATATAACGGCCGTCAATTAGCTTTAAATCAATGTTGTACAAGTTACGATGATGTAACCAAACAATCATGCATTAAGGAGTATGTTTACTAAGCAGAGATGCTATATCGTCTGGAGCAGCCATTTCCACTTGAACGTGTAAGTAAGCTCACTTCATCATATCTGATGCTTGCTTTTATATCTTCAAATGTGGAACATTCCCTTGAAATATCGGCAGCTTCGCGGCAAAAATAGCTGACGTGCAGAAAATGGTAACAAAAACAACGGGCCTGCCTTCGTCGCCGCCTCGCGCCATTACGACAAAACCGTCTTATCCCGATTTTCACAAAAGCGCCACCGCCTGACGCGGCGCAGTGACGCGGCGACCATGGGTCGGGCCCTAGCGATCATTGGGGAACCAATGCATGTAGCTGGCAGGTCGCTGAGCTATTGCGTGGCAGCGCACTACGTTTGAGCGTAGTCGAGGTTGGCTGATTTCTGTTCAACATGAGGGCTCCACTGCTGTCGGCTGCATACACGTCAGCCAGCCGCGGTGTGACAGCTGTCACGCTCCTGACCTTTTCCTCAGGGCAGTATAAAAGACGAGACATTTCAGAGGCGTTGCCCGTGCTGACGAAGGCACCGCACCGTTGAACGTCAGGCAGGCACGATGCGTTTCGTCTTTGCGCTTGTCGTCTGTGCGCTTGTCGTTGCAGCGCTGGCCGCAACTGCCGAAGGTAAGGCGGCTCTTCTTGTGGCTGGTGTCTATGTGCAATTGGGGCTTTGCGACGCAGTCAGCTGCTGAGGCTATGCGGGGCCGACTGGCTCTCACCCCAGCAGGAAGGGCGGGCACCACGGAGATTCGAAGCCTGCTCCCTTGGTTTCGCAGGCTGTTTAACCACTGCACTATGGGTACCCTCGCCATGATCTGTAGGTGTGACAAAAGGTGGTATATCTACACCTACATTTATGTGTTATCTACTGCTTAATATCGAGTTTTATGGATCTAGATTGAACGTTACAAAGGTCATATCTGTTGACGACACACGTTTGGTCTTATCCACATTCCGTTCTTTTTGCAGGGTCATCTTCATGTCGGGGCAAAACGCATCCTTGCACGCGTTGTCCCAGAAAGGGCAGCAAGTACGGATGCATTCAGACTTGCTGCAGATCGGGACGTCGAGGCGGTGGTGATGATGATGGCGATGATGATGATGATGATGATGATGATGACGGTGGCAGACGGCATCACGGCAAAAGGAGGCGAGGCGGTGACGACGATGACGATGATGATGATGACAATGGCCACCGTCGTCGTGGTGGAAAGAGACGAGGCGGAGATGACGACGACGATGATGATGATGATGACAATGGTCGCCGTCGTTGTCATGGTTGCAAGAGACATGGCGGTCATCATGGCGGCAAAAAGAGGGGCGGAGATGACTAGACGCTTTCGCACGGCTTCCAGCCGCCCGTCAGCTAGATTGTGACGGAAGAAGTGTGCAGCCAGGTGCGACAAGATATCACGGGCGCATTGAACGATCTTCACACCCCAGGACTTCGATAGTATGACAGCGGGTGGCATCGTCGAGTCTCGATTTAAATGGCGGCTCCACCCGGTCCACACGGGATTATCGCTTTCCATGCGTTGTTGCACTGGATCTGCCATCGAAGCGCCAGAGGTTGACAACGGTGCTACCCATGTCATGTCTCGGTTTTGTTTGATTTCAACAGTTGCTATGTTTGGTTCAAATACAGTCATACAAAGTACAAAGTGCAAAGGCAAGGTGTTATACAAGGTGCAAAGTGTATCTGCGGGCGAAATCCATTGCTGCCATTAGTAACGGCACGTGATGGCAACACGGTCGAGAAGAAATCGCGCTAATCGGTGGTTTCACATGAACCCTTCACAAACAGCACGCATCCGACTCCTAAGTGGCTATCTGAAACGCTATGTCATAGGCCATTATGCATGCGATCTGCATTTTCATGCATGCCGTGGCTTACACTGTGATCATTCGTGATACCGGCAAATCTAGCAGCATGGCCCGTGTGGGGCGTCGAAGGCAGGCGAGCGTCCAAAGGAAAAGGTCACCTGACACGCACCGTGAAGCCCGCAGCCGATTGTTCAGCCATTCATGCACTTACGAGCGAGGCCACACGGCCCGTGTGCGGGCGTAACTGACCATGTCGAGGCCGTGTGCGGACGTGACTGACCATGTCGAGGTCGTGTGCGGGTATGACTGACCATGTCGAGGCCGTGGTTGAGGCAGACCTCCCACGAGGCGATTAAGATGGGTCGGCGCACGGACGCGAGCACGATGTTCGCCGCCTCCGGGTCGCAGACGAAGTTGAACTCGCCGGACGGCGTCACGTTGCCGAGGCCTGCCGGGCAGCGGCAGCTTCGCACGCGCGCTCACACTAGTAAAGGACGCGGAATTCACCGGCTAGGTGTGACCACGGACGGCTTTAACCACAACACATGGAAACGTAAAAGTCTCGACTGGCGCAGGTGCATGACAGGGGGGGGGGGGAGGAAGGGCTCCCCGCATGCCATGCAGCTCCCTGTTTCTTCTTCGGCGGATCTCCCGAATCGCTCTGCACGTCGCTGCAGCAGAGTGTAAATAAGTTCAGTCTTAGTCATTTGACAGATAGCTTGCTAATCTCAACTATCTGTCGTGTCAGGGCATTGGTAAATTGTTTCGTTTGCGAGACTTGGCATTGAAAAATTCGGTGGTCCACGACGCATGTTTACCCTTTTGTAAACCAAATTTTCTTGTTGGATGATGTTAAAGGTGTGAGTTGGCTGTATTTGATATCAATAAAAAAATAAATATCGACCTTCTTTTTAGGTATCGTGACGTGTGCGCTAAAAATAACCAACCGTCAATATGCCAGGACGCAAAAGATAAACGAATATTTCAAGCAATCATTAAAATATATTTTCAGCTATTATTGGAAACAACGTCAACCGCTCACCATCATGCATCGTAATAATTGCTGTGATATATCCTCTCAGCAGTTACGGCCCGGTTTGCTGAAGGCCAATGCAAGTTTGCAAGATGATGGAATTCATGTGCTTCGTGCATTGATCATGCAGATGATCAATGCTCGCGACCACTTCATAGTATCCTAGGCGAAGCCAAGAAAAATCCAGGAAACTAAGACAAAGCCCTATAAATCCCGTTATATCGCGAGTAATAGCAACCATCATTGTTGGCATGAGCATCATTAAACGTCAAGGTTGTATTAGGTCATGTTTTCGGGACCGTGCAGTGTTTTTACAAACCTTTCACAGTGCGTAAATTTTGTCTTCTTACCATGACGATAGCTTGTGCGAAATGATTCGGAAAATGTCATAGGAGGTCATGCACTGACCTCAGGTAGCCTCACGCCACCGCATTAAAGTAAATGGTTGCGCAATTTGACCTTTGATATACTCCATCACATGTCGATGGGCGCTTGAGCCCTGAGCTTATAAGATGTACAAAGTTTTGGCCATAGCTACCGCTAGCTACCCATAGTAGAAACAATGTTAACAAGAATTCTAGGCACAATAACTCAAATCTATTCCATTCATTTACAAACCAAAGGTACTTTTTCCTTTAAAGCCCCGCCACGTATCCACATAAAGGTCTTGATGAGTACGTTGGCCCAAATTCATTGATAGCTCATGGACCACCCGCACGAAATAAGCGAATGTGATTAAACATTGGTGACGTTTCGCTAAGGAATTTTGCGACTCATGCCTGATATAAATTAGACAGGCATTGAGCTGCTAGTTTTTAGTCATTATGAACTGGGAACTCAGATTTTGGCACTTGGATGCATCTTATCATAGCTTAAGGCCGAAAATATGAAATCTCATGACATATAACATTTCCATCGTTTGCGCGTGATATCACCCGATGAAAAAAGGCAAATGTTCTGCATATTTGCACATGGGCGTAACCCTTTCTCTGGGATTGGTGGACAAATCAGGATGAAGTGGGCGTGAGGGGGGGGGGGGGAGTAAGGAACACCCACTAAAGAGACATTACTCTAGATGTAAAAATGCGAAAGGTGCATTTTGCTGGCAAAGGTCGGGGGAAAATGCCATTTTCGGAACATTGTAGGTGACATTTCTCCCTCCCCACAATGGTTACACCCAGGCACGTACGTGCATTGCGTTCCAAAACTGCTGTTTTACAAATACGGTTACTATGCCAAATGAAGCAGATGACAGCCAAAGACCACAATTTATGCTAACCCAACACAGTGACATCAATAAAACGTTTTTATTCTGCAATCAAATGCCATTTATCTTTCTGAACTACACCAGAGCCCGTGCACTAGAGCCCTAGTCAGTGAAAAACACATGGTCGTGTACTTCATTCACGTGCCGTTATAAAAAGTACATGGCCATGCGTTTTTACACCACACCATTGTTTCAATATTTGTCAACCACCATTGCGTATGACGGACGATTTTCTAGTATCAGGAACCAGGAGAGGCTATTATCTCGCGCGCTAAGGTCACGTTCTGTAAACCCTGGGCCGGTTGAGGTTGGCCGGCCGCCCGGACAAGCCGGATCAAAACAAAGGGATCACCTTCGTACGAACTCCATGGAGTGGCTCGCGCAAAGTAGACATGCGGGCGATCAAAAAAGTGAAATACAACTATGTGTAGAGGCCTCTTTTGGATGTACGTTTGACTACACCATTGCTCCTATATTTTGTTGAAACACCGCATGACTGCCATAAGAGACACATCTTCGTGAACGTACGGCAGGCATCGGATCGTCTGTGGGAATGCGTGAAACGGTGAAGATGAACGAGGATTCGAGAGGGGATCACCCTCTGCATAAAGTGTCGAATCAGATTATCAAAGAATACCGACTGTTTGCCGGTGCCCGAAAGCCAGGTCAGCTCTTCAGTTCAGCGGATTAGAGCGGTTTCAACAAAGAGAGCAATGACGGAGCTGGATCTGCGGAGTTTGAGGAGTAGTCTTTGCCCCAGGAAAAGATAAGCCAGTACGTCGCTGAGAAGGCGGAGCATATTCTTGACAAATCTTCATTGACGACGAACCAGTTTTTATGGTTCGAATCACGCACTTCAAGTGTTTTTAAAAGCCAACGTCAATAAATGGCACGATCCATTCTTCCGAAGAAGTTCGCTGGGGACTGATTGGTGCAACTATGACCTGATAGAGTTCTCATAAACCTATCTGAGCTTCAAAGAAGGTGATGCTGGATAATACCAAACGAATCATTCCAAGAGACAGTTACTGCTTGAGGGACACAGCAGTTTGATAAATTCCACTAGTTAATTTCGGGGCACACGGCGAAGATAGCAAGGCGATAATAAATCTAGGCAAGAATAGATAGATAACCTTCAGCCTAAACAACATTGACCCTCTGGAAGACTTTGGAGACTTGTGGGTTGGTAGATGAGCAAAGATCAGGATAAGAGTAGATGGAAACATTCGTTTTTGGCGTTCGGCTTATCAGGTTAATAAAGATAGGAAAGAGAAAAGGAGGGAAAACATCCTTAGTGCATGATTAACTCCTTTTACTCTCTTTACCCACCTGATGATGGCCAGCGCCGAAAAGTCATGCCCTCAACTACTTTTCTCCCGAAATTTACTCTTCTGCCAGTCTACAAGTTCTCAACAGTCTAGGACTTAAGGTCATCTATATATGTTCAAATACAATTCCTTTTAAAATACTACTCCTCCCCTAAGTCGATCGGTCAAACCGAGGCTTTTATAAGCATAGGTCTATAGGTGAAAAAGGAGTAAAATATCAGGTGAGCATGTGTCAGTGATGTAGACTATGGAAATCTGCCCGAGTGCATGTGATGGTTGTAAAAAACAAAGATGTTGTATTCGTAGTCACTAGTTAGGCGTGGAGAGGCATAACTGGTTATTCAGTAGTGTAAGCACATATACATACCTATTTAAAGTACAGCACCTGCAATAATTGAAAACTCATTGAATGGCTCCCATATTTTTTATTTCGTAATAAACATGTTACATGCCCGCACTGTCTTTTTCGCGCAGAATATTTCAAGGCCACTCAGGTACGCATGACACCATAGAAACATCATCCAAGACCCAGTACCCCATTGGCCACGCGGCGTTCAAGACCAAGAAGAACGTAATCGTCGAATCCTTCATATCCGAGGTTCGTGGGCGCGATTTCCAGATATAATGGACGTAAATTGCTTTCAATCTATGTTAAACAGGTTGTGCAAGTTTCAATAATGAATCACGTTTTGTGGTACATAGTATAAGAAGTTGGACATAGGGGCTAGTTATTACGGAAAAGAGACTTGTTATAAAGTACTTAATAAAAGCGTCATAACTGAGTATGTGAATGCAATTAAACGCATTAAACTGACGGACAAATATGCAAGAACACCACGAGAAAGGGTGTTCACCCGAGCACATGGGGATATTGGGTTAGCAAACACTTCCAGCACCGCCACGGCCCACCTCTCGGGAGACTGAACTACCACGCGTGAGTGTTATGGTGGCAGTTTCGGTACGGCTAGTCTGGTAACACCTCAACGTCACGCTAACTTTTCGTGACGTCATCCAACAATGGCGTATTGAGGAGCACATTTACTGAAAAATCATCGTGCTGTCTAACAGTGTTTTCCATTTCAAAGTTTACCAGTAGTTCTAAGTGAGTTTATTTCATCATGTGTCATACTTGCGTTAATATGCTTAAATGTGAGGCATTCTCTTTACTCACTCACATTCAATGTAATATTCATGTCACAAAAGTAAACCGGCGGCTGGACAAAATTTTAGATGGTCGAACCTGAATGCGTCATCTGATTTCTGCTTCGCACATAACCGTGTTATTTTGTTCAATTTTGTTTTGTGTCGTTCTGCTTCTTGTTTTTTTGTTTTGTTTCGCTCTGGTATGCCGGGCACAAGTTTAGCAAAAGGACTCGCCGCCCGTCCCGGCCCTCCTCCCATCCTCCTCCTCTGCCGTCAAAGGTGACGAAACAGCGAGCTCCAGGCAGAGCCAAAACGTTTTGGCTACCCAGTGAAATCGTAAAGGCACATATAAATGCCACTGATGGTGGGACAGTGCAAGCGCATAATGCGCAGAAAGTCAGTGACAGTTCATGCATACACGTTGGATCACATCATAAATGAAGACACGCATATGTCTGACCTGTGTAGTTTCCACCCATAAGGTAGATATCATTGATATTCGTCATGAACTCCTGGTCCATGCGTGCAGCCAAGGCGATATTTGTTAGTGGTCCCAGTGCCACGACCGTCAGCTCCCCTGGAAACGAGATTTGACGCACTGGTGAAACATTAGAATTATGAGGAGATATAGGAGATGGAATAAAGTGATAGGAGGAGATGAAACACAAGACATATACAAACCAACAGACGCTTGAAGCTGATATTGTGTACAGCCCTAAGTATATCGGGACGGCCTGTACTTGCTAGTAGAAGTCAGCTCCAGCGATCATTGTGTCGTCTGAGTGCACACCATAGCGCAAAGGTAACCTTTGCTCGTCCAGTGTTGCAATTTCCGGCAATTGTTTTGCTCTTATTTCTATGCTGGTGCTCAGAACGAGCCTGTTCAACTTCCACTCCATTTTGAGACCAACCTCTATAGATCAAGAGCAGAAACAACAAATTCGTATCGGGTTAGACAACGCGTATGAATTTCAAAGTTTATCTTATGAGCTGCACTGCTTTTGTGCGAGGGTCTCTGAAAATCTGGCAGCATCTGCAGCGGCTTCCTGCGCAGGGACCACCGCTGACCGCGGTCAGGGGAGGACTGCCGCCCGCTGCGCGCGACAAGCCCACGGCCCTGACAACAGCTGCGCGCGACAAGCCCACGGCCCTGACAACAGCTGCTTGCGCCAGAGGGCGGCCCTGACAACAGCTGCGTGCGCCAGAGGGCGGCCCTGTCATGCGGCCCTCACTCCGCGCCCCGGGGGGGAGCCGACGTGCTGCCACCTGCCGGCCGCCAGCTGACCTGCGCCGGCGCGCCGCGTTATTGTTGGCGCCAGGCGCGGATCCAGGATGCTCCTCGGGGAGGTTTTTCCGAAAGGGCCGCTGGACTGAACACATAATATTATATATATATATATATATATATATATATATATATATATATATAAATGTATACATATACATATGATAGATACAGGTATAGATGAATACTCATAATATACTCAATACTACCCACTACTTAATTGATAGTGGAGTAGTACAGCGTCAAAAAGGTGACCACCTTCCAGCTCTAAAACTTACAAAAATGTGAAAACGAATCGTCGAAACATGTCATGACACATAGACAAACACTTATATTTTTTCTATTTCCCTACGGACTCGATTGGCGGTGGTGGTCGGGGGCAGGCGGTTCCGCGACACTAGGAGGTCCTGCGTGCCACCGACAATCGGATAGCGGACATTAAGGACGCTCGCCGCTGCCGTCCGGGTGGCATGCTGGCAAACAGCGGTACGTGGGGTGAACATGGGTCGGACCGCCAACGGAGCCCGCGAGTCTTCAAGGGGCCTGCACACAGCAAGGTTGGCACAGTGGGTGCCTAGATCACTCATTTACGCCACGGCAATCCAGGACGTTGCCAGTCGACGGTGCCATGGAGTCTCCCTGACGAGCGCCAGTGATGATCCTGGTCATGACTCACGCCCCCTCGCGCTCTGTTTACGTAACACACCGCAGCCACGCCACAGACCGGGAGGCAGTACAGCACATGGGAGGGGCGTGGGACTGGATAAGCTTACGGATTTGGGGCGTGAGGTGGTGACGTATCTCATACAGAGAACAGCACTTCTTGACAGCATTCAGTACGTTCTTCTCCTAGGAAATAGTAGAGCTAATGGCCGCCCCCAGCATCTTCACAGACGGAGAGCGGGCTGTTTTTTGTCCAGCAACGGTAAGCTTAAATGATAAGGGTGTTTAGGGACTGTAGAGTACCGAAAAGGAGAGACATTGTTTTAGTGGAATTCATGTTGGGAAGTTGGATGTGAAGTAGGATCACTGGGATGGTTTCCTCGTGCCGGGATTTCTAAAGGTGATGATGCGATAAGAAAGCTGGTGATAATGATCAAATAATTGGTCGGGATGAGAGCAGTCCAGCAGTTAGATACCGTCGGCGTGGAATGTCAAACGTCCGCGACGGATGCAGGCTGGCATGTCAAGCGCGGTGGTCCTGGGAGGGATAAGACCGATTAGGGATATCGGAGGAGTGCCGTGAGTCAGGAGAAGGAAGAGACAACCGCCTCTTACCACCTACCGCCAAACGGCAAGACAGGTTGTTTGAAGCACCTAGGATCGATGTCATACCAATGCTTCCAGACGAACGCCTTGGTCGACACTATCGAAGACACGACTCAGATCAATTAAGGTGACGGCGACGGTGGGACCAACGCCGACCCCACGAACCCCCCCCCCCCCCCCCCCCACCCACACACACGCACTCACCGCCACAGCTTAGTAGTGTGGTAAATGTAATGTGGTACCTGACATTACTAGCGATACCATGAGAACCGGAGTTGTGATGAGGAAGGACAGAGGCCACATTCCAGAAGGCAGGAAAAACACAAGAGACATCAGATATGTTGATGGCATAGAGCAAGTGGCTTCTTAGAACAAGGAGACATTTAAGTAACGTATACAGCGGCACACCGCCTCGTCCTTTCACCCTGGATGATGACAGCCCACTCGTAGCAATCGAAAATTTAAGCAAAGTAGTGTGATGCTGCCTTAGACTGGCAGCAGTCACGGCACTCCAGGTGGCAGAGCCAAGGGTGTCGCTGCCATTTCGGCAGCGATACATGGGCTGACGAAAACCAAATACCATGCTATGGACAGGTCCACCTCGGCGCCACTCCTCCCTTCGTGGGCTGGAAAGCGAAGTTATCACTGCTTCACAAGAAACCGGCATGGCCTGTGAGCAGGGTATCGGAAATATATCAAGCTTCGACGTCGCAAAGGGGCCTTGCCGCGGCTTCAAAGACGCCGGTAGGCCGGGAGTTGGGTTTCGGCCCGGGTTGTTGGTTCGGCAGGACAGAAATGTTTATGTTATTGACCACTGCAAACGACGACGAGGGTTATAGCTCTTAAGGGACGCTGCACGTCGACCGCACTCCACCACACGTGCATGATTTTTGTCACTTTCCGATCCATTTTCGCCTCCCGGTATACCGAGCCCCAGTCGGCCTGCAGAAGATGGAGGCAGAGTGCGTCCCAGCTGACCTTGCGCCATGGACGTGCGGCGAAAGGCGTCTCTCGACAGCGAGAGATCGACGGAATGGTCCACAAACAACGATGATCAGGTAATATGCAATGGCTTCAGACAACACATGGACAGATGACGCCAAGTTAGGCATATTGGTGACGCCATGACGCCATTATGACGCCAAGTTAGGTGACGATGTGACCGGAAATAGTCTTGGTGGGGTCCAAATGTGGTGGCGTCTTAATGAGTTATAACCGACTGAGGTCCTTAACCAAATAGCTGTGGTGACGCGGACCGAACCCGTCCGCACATAAACGGTCAGTGCTCATGTCACACAGACAGAAGATTGGAGTACAAACACACCTGGTCATTTAAGTTACCCAGACCCCCGTCGCAAGTTGGAAGAAGGAGACAAAGCACATCCTATTCCAAAGTTGGAGCCAGAGGGATCTCTTTTTCTCTTTCTCTCTCTCCTCCTCTCCTCTCACTCTCACTCTCCTTCTCGCTCTCTCCTACTGTTCTCTATCGCTATAAAGCATGACTTGCAAAGGCGAGTTTTGTCAATAAAGGCAACGCCTGCTTCACAATGTTGTTTAACAAGTACCATCCAGCATACTCAAGATCAATTACTACCAGAACAAAGAATTCCAACTGTTGAAGCTAAAAATTCCAACTAGTGTACCTATATGTCTGAACATCATTGGGATCACGACGAAATATGGCAAAAATATGAAAGTGTTTGTCACAACTTACGGCATGGAGTGCCTTCCATTGTCAAACTCTGATCCAAAGATGTGAGGCTCGTTCTATCATTGTCAGTCTTGGTCTTCCTGAGCAACATTCTTGCTATTGTTGGAGTAGAAGAGCAGCCTATAGTCGCCTTGTAGCTTATTTATTTAGCCCATCATATTGCGCATTTGAAAGCTTACAGTCCATGTCGCACGGGTCCCGCTGTTTAGTCTGGACCCTATCTTCGAGAGCCATACCGTCAGCAGGCAACGACAGATCACTGGGCAGGAAAAGCCAAGTGCACGTAGGCCGGGGGGAGCGCAGGTTCCAGTGAATCTCTCCAACCGTGCGTCACCAGCGCACAGGCGGCGCGATATACCCACATTCCTGTCAGCGTAAGGGACCGTGTGACCCATACCTAAGCGCGCGCCCCACCTGACTTGCGTACGCCTGGCACCCTCCGACGTCAGCATATGACGTCACCTGACCAAGTCTGACCTTTGTGCTCGCTGGCGAGGCGAGAGAGTGCCGTCACGGCATGCTCCGGCCGCTGTTTGACTGCGGGCAGCGGCTCCTCGAAGCGGGCGTTACCGAGCCCGTTCTCCCCGTGGTATTGGTCAGGGGGGTCATCTGTTCCACTCAGCAGGAAGCAGTGAGCGCCAGCATACACAGGCACCTGCAGGGCAGCAGGCACCTGAGCATTAGCATTCACAGGGACCCACAAGGCAATGGGACCTAGAGCACCAGCATACACAAAGACCCACAGGACAATGAGACCTTGAGCACCAGTATACACAGGGATCACGGGACAACAGGCACATGAGCACCAGCATAGACAAGGATCCACAGGACAATAGGCCCCTGAGCACCAGCGTGCACAAGGACCCACAGGACAATGGGACCATGAGCACCAACATTGCGAGACAGTAGGCACCTGAGCACAAACATTGTGAGACAACACACGCCTGAGTGCCAGCATTGCGAGACAATAGGCACCTGAGCAACAGCGTATACAGCATATTTGCACAAACGCTGTACAGTGCACATGCATTATGGCATGCGAAGCAAACGAGCCAAACGGACGTGCAAACGTGCCTGCAAACGAGGGATCAGTAAGGCAGGATGCATCGGGGGTGCCAACGTACGCCAGGATGTGTCAAGCAGCCGCGGCATTTGAGCCCCAGCTTACACGCGGACCAGAAAACCAGGATATACCTCAGTTCCGATCGTGTGTCCATAGAACCAGGTTGACAAGGTGAAAGACACCGTCTACTCGACAGTAAATTTAGAGGACGCCAACAAGCATCTGTTGACGCGAGATCATTAGTGCAAGCCACAAAGACTGCTTTATATGTGAACAACTTGTTTACAAACACTTTGCGAGGCTATGCGATTCATTTAAGGTATTTCATTTTTGCTAACTTCATTGCCGTTCGCTAAGAGCCGTCTTTGAGAGTATGGCGCTGCACACCATCATCAGCTTCAGCTGTACACACCTACTCACCGCCCGCCCCTGGTGTCACCCTCCTGCGCTATACACACCCACTCACCGCCTGCCTCTGGTGTCGTCTTCCTGCGCTCACACACCTACTGCGTTCACACACCTACCCTCCTGCGTTGTACACACCTACTCACCGCACGCCCCTGGTGTCGTCCCCCTGCTCCGTACACACCTACTCACCACCTGCCCCTGGTGCTGTCCCCCTGCTCTGTACATACCAACTCACCACCTGCCCCTGGTGTCGCCCCCCTGCTCTGTACACACCTACTCACCGCCTGCCCCTGGTGTCGTCTTCCTGCGCTCACACACCTACTGCGCTCACACACCTACCCTCCTGCGTTGTACACACCTACTCACCGCCCGCCCCTGGTGTCGTCCCCCTGCTCTGTACACACCTACTCACCGCCTGCCCCTGGTGTCGCCCCCTGCTCTGTACACACCTACTCACCGCCCACCCCTCGTGTCGTCCCCTGCTCTGTACATACCTACTCATCGCCCACCCCTGGTGTTGTGCCCCTGCTCTGTACACACCTACTCACCGCCCACCCCTGGTGTCGTCCCCCTGCTCTGTACACACCTACTCCTGCCCACCCCTCGTGTCGTCCCCCTGCTCTGTACATACCTACTCATCGCCTGCCCCTGGTGTCACCCCCCTGCTCTGTACACACCTACTCACCGCCCACCCCTCGTGTTGTCCCCCTGCTCTGTACACACCTACTCACCGCTTGCCCCTGGTGTCGTCCCCCTGCTCTGTACACATGATGTACATGCACCTGCCCATCGACAGCCTCTGGTGTCGTCCTCCTGCGTTGTACACACCTGCTCATCGACAACCCCTGCTGTCGTCTCTTGCCCGACCTACTCACGTCCAGACGGCCGTATGTGGCGAGCAGGCGGCGTGTATTGCGCGTGGCGTTCTTGACGCTGGTGTTGCCGGCCACGGTGGTGATTCCCAGTACGCGCAGCTCGCCACGCCGCTCGGCCGACAGCAGCATGCCGATAGCTTGAGCGTCGTCGACGCCCAGGTCCGTATCCACGACGACGAAACGCACCGACGACGGCGCGCTTGCGCCCTCTGCATACACACACACGCATACATATAAGCGTCAACTACTGCGTTTGTTAAGTAGGCAGGAGCTTGCGCGCGCGCGCGCGCGCGCGCGCGCGCGCACACACACACACACACACACACACACACACACACACACACACACACACACACACACACGCATTCACGCGCGCACGCACACACGCACGCACACACACGCACACACAATCTCTCTATCTATCTATCTATCTATGTATCTATCTATCTATCTATCTATATATATATATATATATATATATATATATATATATATATATATACACATAACTTCTCACTTCTAACTTCAACTTCCAACGTCACCAGGGGTGAAAAGCATGTTATGAACAAAACTGCGTTTCCTTAGATATCATTCGGTTCGTCATTGCACGGTAAGTCCAAAAATTCAGCCTTTAGTAGCATGCAATGCATGAAATGTGTTTTATCGTCATCTAGAAGACAGCATTCTCGCTCCACACCCTGTGTGAATACTGCTTTATTCCCATCTAGAAGAACAGGAGCTTAGAGGCGTATGTCGCAATACGGCCCGCAAAACGCCACATTACCATAGCTTCACTCCTTGTGACTCATGCCATGCTCTACAAAATCATTACTGCGTCACGATTCCAGTGATAATGTAAAACCGCCAGCGTCCAATGTTACAGCTCGGAAATAAGTCACGTCACGTCAGACCAGTCATGAGAAGGACAGACAGTACACTGCAACTCGTTCAAAAGCCCAGTAACAGTGTTTTACATTTCAAAGATAATAAAGGCACATATTATGTGTCACATGTTTCAGAAATGTCACTGCTAAGGAAATAACAGTGACATTTCTTAACGTAGCGTTTGGATGGAATTATGGTAGCAGGGGCCTCTCTTGGCAATGTCAGTTGCGTGAGCCCAAGAAATGCCATAGCAAACCAATACTTATAAATAAGCTCTTTTGGTCATATCTGATGCTTGCCCCCTACATCTTCAATGTGAATCATTCCTCTTAAATTGCTTAACCGACGACCAAAAACTTTCACCACTCGGTTATAACACACTTGGTAATAATCTAACACCACAAAAATGTGCCGATCACCCGGGGTGGTTGAGTTACGTGACCTAACATGACATTAGACTGCGACGTCGACGTCTGCTTACACCTGGAGACGTTTCTATCAAAGGGATTGTCCCACCTTCTGGGCATGCTTCAAAAATATATTCTAGTGAAGCCTCAGGACCAGTTACATCCAATAATAGCACTGGGTGGTGCAATAACAGCACCGTCAGGACATAATAGAGGTATCAATTTTGCTTCATTTCGAGCCCGAAGTACATAACCGTCATGACACGCTACGATCGTTACCTCACGACAACCGCGTGCGTACCTCCACTGGTGCGTATAAAAGAACATTTGTGATTGGCCCAACAGGCGGCAAGAGCCTGTCACCTAGAACCGCACTGGTTGACGTTTAAACCAGTGCGTCAATATGGACCACTCGCGATGCCGGAGAGCGCCTCGAAAGCACCCACCGTGGTGAGCGCCATAGGGAAGAAATCAAACCCCACTGTCGCGTTTCGTTGATTTGCGGGAATCCCACCATTTTGGCAATCAGTGTGTTACAAACATTACAGAGCACGCACGTTAGAAAAAGGAGGGAAAATTAAATGCATTATTTTTGCAGTGGTGAGCAGGTAGTCAAATGAAATTTCTCCAGCAGGAGTGGAGTTCCACCACCACGAGGAGTTCCTCCTACTTCAAATAGAAATGCTGAACTTAGAAGGATTTCGAGAATGCTGGTATCATTGATCAAATCGCATGCGTCCGATCTAACAATATGTGAAAAGTACAAAAAGTGGGATGCTCTCTTTAATATCCAACTGTTCCTTTCTTACTATTTTCACTTTTTTGAACAGAATATCGTGTTTTATCCATTTATGAGGGTCACTGAAGGGAAGCCGGCTCGCTGGCCTAGCCGCTCTCAGTACATCGCCACCCAGCGACCGTGTCAGACAATGCCACGATGTGCGTCACGAGGGTCCAGTAGCGCAGTGGTTAGGCCGCGCGTCCAGAAACTATGAGATTTGATTCCGACGAAGCACGATCTTTCCGCCAGGGTGAGAGATACTGAACAGCACATGCCTTTAACCGCTGAGTGCGTTGCACAGCCCCAATGACGACGGGTTCATTGACCTATAAGTGACAATGGCTGTCACTAGGTCACAACTCATCCGATTTGAGACGCAGATAAAATATAAGCCAGCACGGATGTCGATTACATTGCCAGCGCGCGTTAACGTGCGCCGAAAGCTCCTCACCTTTGACGTCTGTGACGTGAGGTTCTGGGTTCGACATGAAGCGTGCTGGAACGTCACCGGCTGGTCAGCGTCACGATAACCCTAAAGCAGCACGCGCAGAGCTCAATCCGACACGGCCCGTCACGCGGCAGTGACCGAGCGCAGAGTGACGGGATAAGCGCAGGCAGACGGGGCGGCTCGAAGGTTGTATATACTTTGTAAACGGGTGCGTGTCGCCCGCGAGGAGAGGCCTGTCCGCCCGGTCAGCCCGCGAGGAGGGGCCTATTGGCCCGAGCAGGGGCGGTCCCAGGCGCTTCATTTCGGAGAGTACAACTAGTGCCAAACGACGCAATTTTCGCCGAGTTGGACGACTACCTGAAATGAGACGATACGCTAGCAAACCTCTTCGGAGATTTAGGTTGTGCCATCTTTGCCCCACGCTTTCAAGTCCCCCGCATAGTTCAGTCGGCACGTCTTTTTGGTGGATGAAACTCCCCTGAATCGTCTCAATCAAGGGTGTCGCCGTCTTCCATCGTTTATCGTGTCGTATCCCTCCCCGTATCAAGTCTCGTCCCAACCCTGGAACTCTTCAGCCTGCCTTCCTACCGCCTTTTTCATAGAAGAGAATGCGACGCACATCGCCACACACGTCTTTATGGGACACCAGCGAGCGCAGAGGACATGTTATCGCTCAGCGGCCATCGCAAAACGGGGTGCAACGCTCCCTCCACGCGTGAGAGCTGAGCGCGCGAACAGGGGAGGGGTTGGGTGGGCCAGAGCCGACGCATTTGTTTAACTTCAATATTAACCTCATGGCGATGCACGGAAAGAATGTGCCTTGAAAATGGATGGTTCGTCCCCTTCCATGAAGATGCATATACGCGGCTCTCACCTCGAACCTGCGGCTGTGTTCCAGACTCTTGACAGTGAATGCTTTAGACTGCAACATTTCTGGAAACGGTACCTGTTTACCATTTCGCTTCTCTTAAAACCACACATGTTTTTTAAATATCTTTTTAAATAAAAAACAGCCGCATACATTTTATGCCCGTTCTGAGCACCACCTCCCGCCTGAGCAGCTGTCTCAGCGCGCCTCTGACACCAAGGACGGATCATCCGGCGAGCCAGGAGCGGTCTCAGGCAGAGCGAGAACTTGAGCCTGGAGTTGGTCGCAGTCTGTCGAGCACTCATTCCCACCTATAGCTCTCGTTCGCATTCATTCCTTAATAAGTACCAGAAGTCAAGTCTTGATACTTGGTACAGGAATTGATACGAAGTATCAAGTCCTATAGTGTCAATACTTGATGCAAGTATTGATATTTGATACCTGACTTGATACTAAGTATCAAGTCTTGAAATATCAATACTTGATGCAAATCTTGATACTTGATGCGCAACTGCCGGCCTGTGCGGCCTTACTTGGCTGCAGAGACTGCCTGTTCGAGGGGCCAGAGGACCGGCAGTTGGAAGAGGCAATAATTATATGAACCATCACCTGAAACTTGAAGTACTTGGTCAGCTTGGTCTTCCTCCGCCAGTGACGGCGGAAGCGGGCCCTCCGGCCCCGCCTCCATCGGCCGAACTGCCTTGGCCGGCGTCGACCTTTGTTCGTTTGTTCGTCGACCCAAGTTCGTCCTTGGCCGCCGCCCAGGTCAGAGCTCGCGACGCTCGCGACCCTCGCCGACCGGGCCCTAAACAGCCGTGTCAGGCCGAGTGCCAGTCCGTTTCGAGCCTTAAGTGTGACCGCTCGTGAGAAGTAGCGGGTCGCACGAGTGACAGGCGAGTGACATTTGGTTAAGGGTGACGTAGGGAGGAACGAAGGATAAGGGCAGATGAGAAAATGAGAAAACTCTGAATGAGGAGTCACTGAAGCGAGCCCTTCTTGCCTGCTTCAACCACAATGAAGTGCGCAACACTCTGCGAGATATATTCAAGGAGGAGTTCGAATCTCGCGATAAAGAAGTAAAGGAGCTCAAGAACCAAGTGAGTGAGCAACAAGAAATCATCTGAACCAAGTCACAGGCAATTGACGATATTGGGCAGTACTCCAGACGGAACTGCCTCAATTTCAACGGCGCGGCTGAAATCGCAAACCGGTGCGCCTGGCCATTGACCTAGCCAGAACTATGGGCGTCCAGCTTCAGCCAGGCGACATTGACCGCGCTCATCGGGTCGGTAGACCTCAGCCCGCCCCGGACGGCGGCAGCCGCACCCGACCGCTAACCGTCAAGTTTGTGTCCTACACGAAGAGGGAAGAGGTATGGAGCGCCCGTAAGCAGTTGCGGACAGCTCACCCACCTAGGCAGTCCTGTCTGACTCCAGACCCCATCACAAGGGCGTATGTAACTGTAAACCTGACTAAAAGGAGCCAGAAAGTGATGTATGCCGCTCGCCAGCTCAGACGAGACGACAAAATCTGGGCAGCATAGAGTGATGGCTGCGTAATGAAAATAAAAACAGCGGAAGGAAGCAACACACATGCAATTAAAACAGAAGAGGACCTGCACAGGATTGTCGGGGCGGCTGAGGCGACTCGTCGTCGTACGGCAGCCGGGGCAGCTGCCCCCACTGACGACCGCGGACCGGACAACGCAGACGCCGCGAGTGCTGCAACATACGCTGTCGTTGCGACTGCCGGGGAAAGCAGGTAAACCTCATATGCCAGTACGAAATGCGCTTTGCTTACACCTCAGCCAAAATCTGGTAGCTGTGTGTAATACGGTGGCCACGGCATTTGTACTTTGTTCGTATTTCTAAGAAGTGTGTTGTCAGCTTAGTTTAGTGGTCCCAGTGGTTCTCACTTATTGCTGCGATGTAACTTTTTAGAATGCACGTCGGAGCGATGCTGACCTTGTTGCATTCCTGATTGTTGCTCCATGCTGTGTGTTTATTGTGGTTGATGTATGACACTTATGCTCGCGGCCATCACTTCACATCAGGCGTGCTGTGCTGACTATTTGTGTCTACTTGACTGTATCTGCATTTGTCAACGGCAACTGTATTTCTGTTGGTTTGAGATCCATGGCTCACAATGTGATATGCTCATATCAGGTATGCTTTGCCCCAGTGACATAGTCATGTTTTATACATGATTAGAGAAGCCAGTTTGCTTATTTCTTTTCTGTTCTCCATCATAGCCTTTTTGTGTAATTGCATCTGCCTTATTTTCCACATTGTTACTCGTGCGACTCTCGTATCACTGTCAACTTGTTACCAGTTCCTGGATGCTGCTTCGTGTCCGCTGCCAAATCTAGCCTGCTGCTACCAGGGACTTTTTCTGACAGCATTCAATCAACCTCTTCCGCTGGGACATTGGAGATGGGCTGCTCAGCAGATGCTGGTATTTTTCCTCTATCCCTTTCATACCTCATGCCATACCATTATCCAGTTCCCACCCACTCTTTTCCTTCAAGCACACATCTTACCTTCACTTCCTCAGCTCCTGCACACAAATGCTCAAAGCTGTCACTTAGACTATATCCTGACATTGACATTTGCTTAATAATCAGTAGGCTGGAAATCATCCCAGGACCACTAGCAGCCAAGAGTGTCACGATATTACATGTCAACATAAACAGCATCACATCTCCAGGACGCCTGGACGAGCTTGCACTCTTCACCACATATAACGACATTGACATGTTGCCTCTGACTGAAACCAAACTTGACTTACAGGTCCATCCTAGCTTGTACAATTGACACAACTCCCACAACCCAATGACTAAGCACAGGACTCGACATGGAGGGGGAGTAGCAGCATACTTTAAATCAACACTCCCAGCAAAGAGACTACCTGATCTCGAACTGGAAGGAGTTGAATGGGTTTGGTCCCTCACTGAATTCAAATCAGAAGTCATTGTGGTTTTCTGTGTTTTTGTCCCACCCAATCTCTCTAGCAGTCAACTGACAGAGTTTTTAGATATCTTGTCAGACAGTGTTGGCACGACACACACATATAACCCCGCATCGATATTGATATTGGGAGATTTTAACGCTGGTTATAACTATCTAACTAAAGCGCACTCCACTAACCACAATGATACCTTTCCATTTGAACTCAGTCTGAAACGCACAGTTGAATCACTCAATTTGACACAGCTCATTGATCAGCCAACACACATTACACAAGACACAGCCAGCTTACAAGACTTAATACTGACATCCAACACAAACATCACAACATCATTGCAGGCGGTGGGGTACTCCCCCTTTTTCACTAACCGATCACATTCCTACCTTTGTCACTATCAAGGTTGCATCACCACCCCTAAAGGTATCAACCAAACAAGTATGGGACTACACAAACATGGATGCAGACAAACTTTCACAACTTCTGGTAAACACAGACTGGGACAGAGTACTCGATCATGACATAGACACAGCGACAACTTTACGCAGACCATGTCCGCAGCAGCTGCTGAAGCTATCCCAACAAAGATAATCAGAATGAGAAACTGTGACAAACCTTGGGTCAATGCTGCACTAAAGAGAGAGATGAGGAGAAGAGACAGACTTTTCAGACTTGCTCAGAGGTATATGACTGATGACCACTGGGACCGCTGGCGACAACAAGCAAATTTCACCACATGCATGAACGGACGACTTAACAACAACCCCTTGCAGCATCAAGAAAACAACCTCTTGCATGCAAAGCAAAACCCACACACGTACCATCGCATTCTTAAACAAATGAAAGGACGGACACGAGCTGAGACAGTGCCACCGCTCGTGGGACCGGATTCAACCCCATTGACAGAAGACTTAGATAAAGCTAACCTACTAGCTAACTTTTTTGCCAGTCACAACTTGCAACTGACGACCTACCTGTCCCCGAGACCGCGCTTGCGGATCCACCACCCACGTTAGATAGCATAGCCATTACAGAGGATGGAGTACTGAGCGCACTCAACACTCGATCCAAACAGATCATGCGGTTCTGACAATCTCCCAGCGAACATATTAAAAATGAATGCCATATTGATAAAGACTTCACTTACTAAGCTATTCAACATGTCTCTAAGCCAAGGTATTTTTCCTTCCACCTGGAAAGAAGCAAAGGCTCATCCCAGTTTCGAGAACAAATGGTCAAGCTCGGATCCTGCTAACTACAGACCAATCAGTTTACTCCCTTGTGTGTCAAAAATTCTTGAAAGAATTATCTTTAATGATATCTATCAAGACCTACCTCAGAATGGGCTGCTCTCTG